AGTGGTAATGTTTAGAAGAGGTCATGCATAAGTAGAGGGTACATCATTGATTGATTTCTCCCAAGGGAAGATAAAGTTAGAGATAGTTGTCGGTTTGGTCAATTTTTGTCGGCTGGACCTCCCATTTCGCAGGCCTAAAATTTGAAAACCATGGAACAGAGGTGGAAGGGGAACATAATATGTATTATTTAGAGAATGGTGTATGATACGATGTAAAAGCATGGGGATTCAGATGAAAATTTTTTGGTTGAAAAAAAGCGACACTACTTATGAGACAACCTAATAGATTTACGCAAAAGTCCTGACACACAGGATCAAAGAGGTTTTCATTTGTTTACTGGAACTGTGTAGTCACCTGGTTCTAAAGCCCAATCAGTGCTAACACGCCGTGGTCATGGGTATAACCACTCGACTTCTGGTGAACAGCGTCACTATTGTTGCTTTGCAGCTTCATATTTCAAAAGGGTTGCCGCGATCCCAGCGCCGGCCCAATTGTCTCAAACCGGATTCAAGGAAGACCAGGCAGCGATGTGACCATTAGTTTTTGCTTCACCAGCCTCTAGGTGAGGAAACGAAGCTCGTAAAAAAGGCTTGCTTCTGTGCCACGCGGATAACTGCTCGATTTATTTGACCAACGAAATCGTACCTCAAACTTGGGTAATTAAACGAATAATAAGAGCAAATGATCTACCATTACATTACGCAAGAATACAGAATAACGTGGTTTACAAAAAGAAGCGGTAAGTGATCAATCTGTGAGGATAAATGAGCATAATTCAGCTACAGATGCTAGAGAAGGCATAGAGAGTTAGATACTAAGCGAAAGCATGAAAAATGAGTCATGAACCATAAAGGCCAGATTGCGCCATGCATAGGAGAGATGGGAAAAAACCATAAGTGATGTGGAGTTTGTCACCCTAGAATATTGATTGTCCATTGCAGATGTCATATGTCAGCTCAAAGAATATGAAAAGGAAGTCTTGAACTACAATTAGGGATAAGCCACGCACTAGAAACGATGTGTGTAAAGCATGGACATTACATCTTGAACTAGGTTCTTGCAAGAGGCCATAACTAGAGAGAGAGTACATAAAGCAGGATTAAGGAAGCATGAACTAAGGACTTAGGATAAGTCATGAACTAGACAGGAGGAAAAAATGATGCATGAATAAGAGCAGGAATTGAGAACATGAGATAAGCCATGAACTCAAGAGGAAGGAGGAAAAAGGCAAAAGAAGAGAAGGGAAGGCCATAAGGCATATCATGCACTGGACCCATGCACCGCTGCGACTGTCCTCTGCGCCTCGAAGCCTCCTATTTATGCGGCGATCCATCAGCGCCTTCAATAGAATGTTCAACAAAAGTCTCTCCCACTCAAAACAAAGAAAGCTGCAAGTTGAGATTTTTGCGAAAGATAAAGCTTTCATGTTGGAAATCGTACAATTCTACATGTAACTTTCTACCTGTAATTTCTCGAATCACGACGTTCGTGATATCATGTATAAGTACGTAGTAGCAGCATTGATAGATTTCTCTCAAAGGGAGATAAAGTTAGAGGTACTTGTCGGTTTGGTCGGTGGCTTAGGTCGGCTGGACCTCCCATTTCAGCAGGCCTAAATTTCGAAAACTATGGAATGAAGTGAAGGGGAACATAATATGTATTATTTAGAGAATGGTGTATGATACGATGTAAAAGCATGGGGATTCAAATGAAAATTTTTTGGTTGAAAAAAGCGACACTACTTAGAGACAACCTTAATAGATATTACGCAAAAGGTCATGCCACAATCAGGCTCAAAGAAGTTTTACATTTGTTACTGGAACTCGGTACTGGACCACTGTAATCACCTGGTTCTAAAGCTTAATCAGTGCTAACACGCCGTGGTCATGGGTATAACCACTCGACTTCTGGTGAACAGCGTCACTATTGTTGCTTTGCAGCTTCATATTTCAAAAGGTTGCCGCGATCCCAGCGCCGGCCCAATTGTCTCAAACCTGATTCAAGGAAGACAGGCAGCGATGTGACCATTAGTTTTTGCTTCACCAGCCTCTAGGTGAGGAAACGAAGCTCGCCGACAACTGCAGCTCCGGACTGCTCCCTATCACCAATAATGAGTGTTTGTCTAACGAATCCAAGGGACTCCTGAGTCTATCACTAAAAGAATGGCAGAGCGATCAATCCAACGTCGTTCGACCCCTCCTCCATGAGCCGGCTTCAGGGAAGTTTCCTCACATTCGTTCCGACGCCAGGTGACCTAACGAACTCCTACACATTTGTCTTCTTGGATAGCCGCTCCTCCCCATCTTCAATCAGAATCACGTCCATCATGCTGCTTTTAAAATTCGAAGAGAATGCCCTGTAATGCGAGACGAAGCTAAATTGTTGTCTTCTGATGAATTCTTCTTCTGAATAATCTGACTTCGGCAATGCGGCATTCTAGCGTAGGCAACGCATAAACTAGGCGTTTACGCCGGGAAGTGTGACCATCGCCTCTAGGAGATCAAACTACCCCTTGACACAAATTTCTAGCCACATCGATAATTTGACTCATACATCGAAAAGTGGGTTTGCATGGGTGACACAGAAGGTCTAATAATTGGTGCCTTCGACAGCACCCCGAGCACTTTTGTGGGCAAGAAGGTTTTGATAGAGGAAACTCCGTGAATAGTGACATTAGAAGGTCCCCACATGGAACAACCTTCATTTTTAGCGCGGCGTTGCTAGGACCTCTTCCCCAAGTTTACCAATACTCAAGGCTACCGCGTTACAGCACTTTGTCACATTTCAAATGACCACTTCGACCTACCATCCTCCCCTAGTTAGCATGGGTGAATTCGTGTACTTTAGCGATTCAACCTTGATTAGTCGTGATGCCACGTGGGTCACGCTCTGTTTGCTTGCAAACCACACCAAATTTCTCGCGCAAGAGCTCCATTTTGTCCAGAAATCCTTAAATTTGCCTCTAATACCTTTGAAGGAGGAGTTTACGACTAGAAAGCAGCCCATTCAAATCAGTGATCGGCAGTACCGAGATGAAGGAAAAACCATAGAAAAGGCCCAAAACCTCGAGGAATGGGACCCCTTCCTTGTCCGTTGATTTGTGCATTGATGCGACTCTCATCGGTGCTGCCTCTTCAACGCTAACGCTCTCTCTGTGAAATGGCTGGAGGGCCGGACAGCGAGAGGGAGGCCAACCGCACCGATAGCGCTGCGGGGAGGGTTATGCTGGAGGCACGTCTTTTGCTGCGAATGGCGTTTCGGCCTTCCTCGACTTTTGACCTGGTCGTAGGATCCTATTCAAACAACATGACTACCTGAGCACGAGTAATAAATCCTGTTTGTGTAAGCGTAAGCACTTCAGATAGAAGACGACCGTGTGATACCAGCGATAGGAGGCAAACCACCACGAACGCCAACTCGTCGTACACCGTCCAGGTAGTATACTTGTACATATTACGTCCCATCTTTGAAAGAGGAAAGCTCAGAGCAGGGAACTTCTTATTTACAGGCACTCTACATCCAATTACGACCCGGCTGCTTCAGTGGAGAATCACCAGTCAAGAGAAGGTTCTCGTGCATCGCACAGAAGCGAGGAAAGACCACCATCTATAGCAAGGCAGACAGATTCTCGTGCTTCTCGTCGCAGCGATGGGAGGTCCCCTTCTGCTGTAAGGAGAACTCCCTCCAGGCAGTCCAGGAGAGCTAGCAGGCAAGACACACAGGTTGGAACACTCTATGATCAGCATTACATGGGCGAAAATGAGGCAGTGACCAAATGCTACTAAATATGCTACTAACTATACTCCCTTTCAAAAACGAAAGAGTGCAGACCATACACCACAAGTGACGACGGCCTCACAAAATGTAAATGTTTTCTGCCAATGATTAGCCTGTTGCAGTTGTATTCTATCAGTTGTCACTAATTACAACTATCATTTACCAAAAATCAGCTATCACTATGAACCACTACTAACCAGATTTACTTGGAAGCCGATGTGGTGTATGGTCTGCACCCGACGCTTTTCTCGTTTTGAAAGGGAAGGTACAGAAGTAGCTTGACAATGAGTCGATTTCCTAAACAAATCCGGAACAGCTGAGCTTTTCGCCCATTCGAAGTCAGAAACGCTGTGGAAATCGAAATTGCATCTTAAGAAAGAGAGTTTTCAAGGTAAATGATAATACGTTGTCTTTACGCCAGTTGCTGTCATATTTCAATCCTGAGACTCGTACACATGAGCATTTCTTCCTACGAAACTGAATGGAAGGTGGGGCGAGTTTTGAGTGAGCCTAGCGAGCTATTCCGTCACTTGTTCTCAGTGATAGCAGATATTTGAAGAACACCGCCATTACGCATTCGGATCAAACACTTCTTATATTGCGAGTTTTGCTGCATCTTGAAGACTGCATCTCCTATTTTCATTTTCTCCGCCTCTTAATTGAATATTTTTATCCCTGAAACTTCTTTACTCATTTGCAGCTTGGCTTCTACCAGTCGTTCCGCACCTCTCTCTTCCACATTGTTGGAATTTTGATTTTCATTGACGTCATTTTGCCGTTCATAACCGTTCTCTCCTGAGTGTTAAAGAGTGTGAGTGCGAAAGCCTAAACGAGCTCTGCTCTTGGCCGTTGTAAGAGCAAATATTGTCACGTGTCTCTGACCACATTCACTTTTTTATACGCTGTTTCCAAGAGATCCATGTAATTTTCATCCTCGAAGAGGTCTAATGATTATGAAAACTGAAGAGTGATCGTGCATCTTGTCAAAAACCCTATCCCAACGCAATTGAGTGAGCAGAGTGAGGAAGTTTTGCGACCAAAAATATCGTGCAGGTGACTCGAGTGTTGTGCGTGTGTGGTTACCAGGGCTGAAAGCGCCTTTAGCATTTCGCAGCGCGAAACATTTTTCGCCGCAGGAACCTAAAGTCTACCGCTGGCCGTCAGACCCGAGGCTCCTGGGAAACGTGAAAAAGTCGCTTCGTGTCCTAGGGAACCACATTCTATTGTTACTAAAAATGATACTTCCACCTACAAAATTGTCGAAAACCTTCATTTCGAGACATTTTTGCAAAAGGCTTCAATGTGAATTGTGTTAAATATAGATGCGAACTCGCATGCCAGCATAAAGTTCCATCTGAAATAAAACAGAGACTTTTTTCCTCTGATTGGAGGAAGCGGCTTTGCCAGCTCCTCCAACTCCTACTGC